GTGACACCAGGCTGTTCTGTCAGAGCCAATCCCAAGTGGATTGCCTTCCTGGGAGGTGCTGAGCCCCCCCCCATTTCCACTGCAGCCAGCAAAAGCTCAGGGGGTGCTGAGCACCCTCCGTGTAGAGCTCAGCAGTCAAATGCAGTATTGGCTGCTACTGTCAGTCCCGCTCAGCAATATAGAAGCCACAGAGCTTTCTTGTCTCTTCATTTAATCATTGTATATACAGAGCTGGGCTGTTATTTACATCCAAGTACACTTGTCTCCGCATAACGTAGCAGCATAAGAGCAACAATTCGATTCCTATCTTGAGTGCGGAAACCCCGACGTGATCTCCCTCCGGCACGATGCCAGTGACAGCAGGAACAGTGCAGCTGGCTGCCACGAGACGGTGGCAGAAGCTAAGTGGGACTGTGTGAAGCACAACAACATGCAATGGTTGTGGTGTTCACCCTCAGGGTGAGACAGGAGTGCTGGCTACGTGAAGGGAACTAGCTCAGCTGGGTTGGCATCTTATAGCAACAGCAACCAACCTTGAAATGATGGTGGAACAAAGCAGCCCAACTCACAGCAGGTGGTCAGAGGGGCTGCTTAGACCTACCCTGGCAGGATAGCCTGCTTAGTCCAAATCCTTATGGATGGAAATTGCTGGAGCTGATCAGTGTCCTCTATTTGCTCGTATAATGGCCACGTGGATATGCCTGGAGCATGACTCAGTTGCCTGCACGTGGGTGATGTGCCACTAGAGGTGCCGCAGGTCTTCCCACCACTGGCCTGGCTCTCCCATAGGTCTTGGATCATATTGGCCAGCCCCATGTATCGGGTATCCCAGAGCTTCTCTAATGTCTCTGGACCCCAGGTGTGGGCAACTGACCTGAGACCCTCATGACCACGGCATTTTGCCAATGGCAAGTTAGAGATGACTTGTAGTTTCAGGAGAGACACTAACCATGTGCAGGATTTTGAGGGCAGTACTTGGAGAATTACACGTCAGCCAGTACGTTACACTGAATCCTATCAGCTCTACAGCTGGCTGAGCAAAGGCGGAGGGGACAGCTGGGTTATGATCAAACGCAAACTCTGTGTTGCGTTTCATGGGGCAGAAACATTTTATCAGCCCTGCCTGAGCCTCCAAGAGGCAAGATGTCAGCCTTGGCCATTCACTGGATGTGTCATCAAAATGCCAGTCTGGCACCCCTTGGCTATCTTAGTCCAACGCTAAGACCCCAGGGCCTCAACGCAGACCTAGCTTATGATGGGAGACTTTATCCAGTCAGTGGGTAAAAGTGTTAAGTTCTGGAAAGAGCTAGGTGAGCTCCCATCTGGGCCAGATCTGAGCACAAACAACAGCAACACAGGTGTCCCATCATCATTTTGCTCCATCTCTGCTGAGCAAAGGGCAGTCACCTGCAAGAGAGATGGGTCACCACCATGTGGCCACACAGTGCAAGCACATGGGAGAGGACGTGATGGGGAGCAGTGCATCCAGTTGTGGGGAGGACTCCTGAAGAACAGGAATCCTTCATGGCAGTTTGGCTGGGGCACTTGCCAAAAACATTTGGGTTTTACGTCACCATGGCATAGGGGGGTGGTTTCTGGAGGACATCTGAGTTCTTGGGGGATGCTGGGCAAATCCCAAGAGAGGGAGAACCACCAGCAGCAGCACAGCATCTTAACAGGCATCTGCAAAGTTCTCTGTCATCCAGGTAATGGCCTCAATTGAAGTTGCTCAGATCTGGAGCGCAACTCTTGATCAAAGTGATGCAGCGAAGAAGGCGAAACAAGTGTACCTTTCCTTCTCCAAGGTGAAAAATTCTCCTTGCCACTCCTGCTCCATACCAAGGAGCTCTGCAGTCCCTGATGGATGCACTGTGAGGCCATTGAGTCCCTGGGCAGTCCAGCACCCTCCAGCAGTCAGACAAACCCCTATGCCTCCAGGTTTCACTGGGTCCTTCAAGACACACTCATTCCTGGCACCACTGCAAAAAAGATCTAGGAAAAAGATGACGGAGCAAACCTGGTACTCCGGAGGGCTTGACTGACTGCTGCTGGCTGGATCTAGGTATGTGGGGAGGCCAGACAAGCCCCTGCTTCTCCTGCCTGTGGATTAGCAAGGAGGTCTGGTGAGAAGGTGTCCCACAGGCTGATGCCGGTGTCCATTCCTCTTGAGTGTTGACACAGTGGGAAATTGCGGTGTACACCTCCGCAACAGCAGATCCTTGAAACTCAATCACTCTGGGTGTTCTTGAGCCACCAACTGAAAGGCTGGTTTCTGTGATGGTTAGTGGGAAACCAACCTGAACATCAGTGAGGCCAGGAGGAGCGAAGGTGGAAATGACCCTCCAGGTTATTGGACCCATCTTGTGGTGAGGACACTTGCTGTTGGATTCGCTTGTCACATGGTGGCCTCAAAACCACCATATGACCATCTGAGTCTAAGCCTCTTGCCATTTCTCTATGCTTTGCCCTTTTGCCCAAGGGCTGCAAAGCCCTTCAGAAGCACAGATGCCTCACAATTGCTTTGGGAAGGAGTGGGTTGTGGGTTTATCTGATGTGAAAAGAGAAGCACAGAAAGCCAAGATGACACAGGACACCAGATCTCCAACCCCTGACATTGTGGGATGTTTGGCTCCATCTCGAAGGCCCAGTGTATGAAATGGAGGAAGCTCTAGGGTTTGCCTGGCCAAGTGTAAGTTTGTGCAGTGCATGTGGGTGTCTCCCTTGGCATGGCAAAGTCTGCTGCTAGGTGGCACCGGCAGGCAGCTGCGCTCCTGCCTCAGTGGTGTGCACAGGCTGATGTGCAAGAGCACTGGAGCACCTGCAGGATTCGTAGTGGGACTCTTCTCCACACCCTTCAGGGGTCAGACCTAACCTAGTCCCCCTTTCTATGGCTGGTCCTGGGAGAGGGGCTTAGCCTGAGCTGCCCTGGTGTTTTCCAGACTGACGGGTTGTGTCTTCCTCCAGCTCCAAAGGCACAGGCAGAAGCAGTGGGAAAAGACATGTACCATCAACTGGGACCTTGAAATGCTCCGGTCTCATCGCACATCTCCATTTTCTGGGGCTCCAGGGATCGCTGCCAGTCACCAACAGTTCCTGCCCAGTAATACTGTCTGTTGACCTTGGCTGGAGGCTGGTGGGACTAACTGAAGTCTCCTCTCTCCTCATCTTTTTTGCTCAGTCTGGAGCTCACCACAACATCTGTTCCCAACTTGAAGGTCAGACCTGGTGATGGAGAGGGGGAGCTTTTGGGGAAGGGAACGTGGAAAATTTGTAGCTTCAGGGCTTTTGTTTGGAAGGTCTTCAGCCCCTCAACATCCTGAGGTTCTTCCTTGCTATGCACATGAAATGTGATCTGGCCAAACTCTCCCTGGAGTCACCTCACAGACATTCCAAGACGTCCCGGTGCTAATTCTAGCTTTGTTATTCTAGCTGCTCTCTAGGACAAGGAGCTGAAATTCCCACTTGCGTTGATCCTTTGGCCCCTGCCCAGTCAGTGCAGACTCCACTTTGCAACATTTTTTTTTTCTCTTTACTGTGAATCATGGTTAAAAAGTGTTCATGAAAGGGAGAATCAAACCCATTTTGCCCACCTTTTCAAGCTGAATGCTGGTTTTTGATGCCTGCACCATTCTCAGTGATGTGCACATAGGATTTGGTTATTATTCTGCCAGGGCATAAGCACTTGCGTGATCTTAAGTATTTTCCCTTCTTATGACTGCTTTCATGCTCAGAGTTAGTAGCTGAATATTTTCGTAAGCTAGGCCTGCGTTATCTCTGTCCCTGGAATATGTGGTGCCACGTGGGATTGCTGTGGGTGCTGTTTGAAATGGCTGTACTGAAGGCTAACGCTCACCCCGCTGCAATTTAGCAGTAATGCTGATGTGTGCTCACTGCAACTCCTGAGTGAGGCTCGGATGCCATTTTTTAAGTAGACCCTGGACCAAGAGAGCGCACCAAAGCATCACTGGTTTGGGAATGGGGTAGCACAATTGCTCATTGTTGGGGCAAATTGCTAAAGCTTCAGTTTGCATAAACATCCCGCAGGTTTGGAGGCTTCCCCAAACCTTGATTCCATTGACTTTGGGAAGTAAGAGGGCTCTTGGGAAGGCAAACTAGCTTGGATTTCCAAGTTTTTTTCTTGCTGTAGCCAGCTTGAGTATATGGTAAGAATAGGGGGACCGAGGTGGAGGTGGGAGGGTGTTTCTGCTCCCAGGTTGGTCACAACCCAGGAGAGAAATGGAACTGCAGAAGGAAACCACAATGAAATGAAAACGCAGCATATGTTAAGCTCTGCTGAGCCTCCAAAGGGGCTCCTGCTGGGCAATCATTCCTTGTTGGCTTATGTTACCAGAACAGGCTCATCCTGCTCCTCAGGGATGTCTTAACCTCTTGCAACCGTGGTAGCCGTGGGCTGGCAAGAGGGAGTCATCTGGTAGAGATATGTCTGGTTTCACTGAAGTCAGTGGCCAACCTCCCACTGACTTCACTAAGACCACCGTCTAGACAGGATACTTGATGCAGAACAGTGAGTTTGCTCATGATCCCGAGAGCTTTGCTCCATTAGCCAATGTGGCTAAAAATGCCCTGAAAAAACCTGCCACTTTGAACTGTTTTGCTGCACGTAAATGCTTCAAAAACCAAAGAAACCAAATACAACCCTCCAAAACAACCAACCGAAGAGGGATGAATTGTAGGAGAGGGGATGGCAGCCTCTAGCAAAGTAACAGTCACGGCAGATTACAAAAGAGCCAATTGACCCTCACCAGCTGTACTAGGAAAAAAAACAAAAGAGATGTCGCATTATCGATAGAAAAACAACGCACATCCACAGTTATTTTACCTACAGAGCACAGAAGTATAGAGTAAGGGTGATGGAGCTTGGTGCGAGCAGACTCATGCCGCTCCCACGGTAGCGTATTATCCTTCGGAAGATCACTGGCTTGAGTAGGTAGTACATGCACAGCAATAAAAAAATTACGTTGTATTGTCTTGGTCCCACCTCAGATCTCGGTGGACTCTATTCGCTCGAGTCTGGAGGGAGTCCATGTTTTTTTCTCCTCGGTGTGCGGGGGACTGGTTGCCTTCGTGTTCATTTCATTCACCTTGTGCTCCAGGAGCTGGTTCTTCTGGTACATCTCCACATAGTTCAGTTGCAGCTGCTTCTGGTACTTGATGACTTTCTCCTTCTCTTCTTGCCATGTGCGCCGCTCCTCCTCGAAGTCCATCACCTGCTGCTCCCGCTGCTGCCGCTCCAACTTCAGCTCCGTCTGGAGCCGCTCCACCTCCTTCCGCAGTGTGTTGACGCTGTCCTCGCTCTGCCGCTGCATCTTGGCTTCGTCGCTCTCGCAGGCCAGCGGGTCCCGCAGCTTCTCACCGAGCTCCCCACCAAAAGGTCCTGGAGGTCCCATGCTGGCAAGTGTCCGCTTCAGGCCGGAGACCTCCAGCTCACAGTGGTTCAGTTTTTCCCTCAGCACCTGGACCTCACTCATCTTCCGCTGCAGCTCACTCTCACAAATCTCCAGGTTGACACTCTTGGAGCTGTAGGAGTCCTTCAGGGTGAGGATCTGCTCCTCCTTCTCCCGTAGGAAGTTCTTACCTTCCTTGAGCTGCGTCCGCAGTCCCACAATCTCGTTCAGCTTCTGGGAGACATCTGCTTGGGAGTCCTTCAGCTGCTGTTTGAGCAGGGAGATCTCACCTGCCTTCTGGCACACCTATGGGGAGAGCATCCGTGAGGCAGGAGGAAGGCAGCGAGGAGCCACCGCCACTGCTTGTCCCCTGAGGCTCAGGTAACGGAGGGGACAGCCAGCGATGCTGCTCAAGGACTGAGTTCAGCCTTCACCAGGACCCAGACCATGCCAAAGACCTAAAAGTTGTCCCCACATTTGTGGGGGAGATTTGGTGTTTCTTCCTGGCTCTCAGGGACCTGGTGCTGTTTGTAGCTGGAGCTGACCAAACAGTTAAGCTAAGTGGTGTGGTCCTCACCAGTGGTGAGCAGGCACCGATGCTTCCATGCCTTCATCTTACTCACCTAACCATAAGCCTGTGGTGCCTGACCTCAAACCCTCTGAACTCAGCAGGAGTTTTCCCGCTGACCTCAATGGGATCTGGACCTTCAACAAGCCTGAAACAGAAACATCTCAGACCCAGAGACCACCCGGGCTCTCCCTGAGCACTGGTAGTGTAGGACAGGACACAGAGACAATAGATGTTACTTACTTGTCCTATGACTCTTTTCTCCCCGAAGACTCCTAAAGAACCCAGCTGACTAAATTTTAGGGTTCACTTCACTGGGGACAGTGCAGGGACTGGTAGCTATTTAATTCTTTTGGGGCAGGGCATGAAGAGTGGCAGCCCCTCTGCCAAAGATCAAGGAGAGAGCTGCAACCCACCCTTGCTGAAATGGGACTACCATGCACTGTCCTTGGGCACTGGACTGTCAGGTTTCATCCTGACCGGCTCAAGTCTCACCCATGTGGTAGGGTACACAAGCCCAGTGGAAATACCCTTGCTCCAATGTGTATTTGCATTACGTAGGTGTCACCATTCAATATGACACTCCTCTGCACCTGTGTAGTCCACCAAAGGTGACAGTTGCATGAATAGTTGTAGGTATTGGAAGTGAATAATAAAAATGACCAAACCCTCATTTTCCCATGAACTCCAGGGTTTTCAGGGCTCTGCGCTGGCAGATCTGATCTGTCTACTGTGGATGACTGCAGAGACAAACAGTCCCTACCTATGCTGGCAGGAATCTAGGCTGGGGAATAGCACCAAGGAACCATCAGTGATCAGAGAGGGTAGGCATAATTAAAAATAGGCTTGGTAGCCACCTCCAGACCAGGGTGTCCCATCCTCCTGAAGCTCCTGTCTGTTGTCATGCATGAAGTGCTTGGCCTTTCCCCCCTCCTGCAGTGCTTGCAAGGTCCCTTGCTGCTCCGGTCCAGTTGGGTCAATGTTCCTCAGACAAACTCTCCTCTCCATTGCCTTCATTGCAACCTCCACCTTTCTGTGCTATAGAGGGCTTGCCTGGTGCAAAATGTTGAGCAAGACCTTGAAGCTCAGCTACTGGGACAGTCTGGTGCTTACTACAAATGGCTAAAGAGCTAGGAGACGTACCCAGAGTCTCCTGCTGCTGCCTACTGGTAGCAACCTTCCCTGGAGCTGACAGCCATGGTGGTTCCCCATGCAGACCTAACTCTGTGACTACCCACATCCACACCAGCACTTGCCTGCAGGAGATGCAGAACTGTGTCATGCTGGTTTAGGTGTAGTTAAAGTGGCATAGTTACTGCCTAGCTAGAAAAACTGCACAATTTACTGAAAGTGCTCTCCGTGGGCTAGCTCTTCCCAAAAGGCAGAGAAATACATGATAAGGAACAGCTTGGATAGGAATCAACTTACAGGTTAAAACACTTAAATTTTGGCCTCTACTTGGGTGCTGTGGAGATCTAGGCAATACAGTCCATGGAGCCTGGAGAGCAAGCCAATGAGTGTAGGTGTCTACAAATTTTAGGAGTCTTGATCCACAAGTTGAGTCCCTGTCTTTACATCGGTATCACTGGGTTAGCTGTTGCAGAGAGAGCTATAGCAGTGAAGCAAATAATCAAAAGCCCATCTGCAGTTTTGCTGGTGCAAAATCGGGGAACTTTCCAAACCTAACTTCTTGGAAGAAACAAAAGACCTGGGCAGAGCAGCTGGCCGAAGGAGGCATCATGCGGCACAATGCAGCCTGCTTGTTCTGGGATGTAACTTGCAGAGATTTTACAGCAAGCCTCTAATAAGCTCTGCTGAACATCTGCAAATAGCACATTTCAGAGCCTAATTAATCCCAGCTTCATTGACTTTCCATCAGGATTAGCAGAATAGGGTCTTCTTGATTCTAGAGCTACATGTTGCCTCTGCACTCTTAATAAATTTAAAGTTTCTAGCCAGTCCATGGAAGGATTAAAATTCTTCACATGATCAAGCTGAAAAAAAAAATGTTAGTACTGGCTATACAAACAGACTTTGATAAAATGTTCTAAAAATAGAAACAGCAGAAAAATATGTAAGACTCAAAAGGAGAACTAGAAAGAGGAATTTGCCTTTCAGCCTTTTAAGAGAGATAAACTTATTAGCAACTGGAAACTGTGTTACAATGGAAAGAATGAGGTAGACTTGGCTATTGGTATCATTCTTAGCTCACTTGCTTTATATTTTAAATAAAAAAGAAAATCAAATATTTGAAAAGCAGTTTCAAGGTTTGCCCAAACACAGATGTTAGAAGAATTTAATTAAAATAGGCTTAAACTCAGTTTTGGTAGGCACAAATACCTGTATCGAAAGACCTGTATTCACTGAAACTGAATTAAAATGTCACACATTGGGAAGCCAAATTATTGACGAGCACAGGAGGTGTACACAAAAAGTTCCACTCATTTTAGTTTAAACTACAGGCTTGGGGCTCAGACAAACGAAGAGGTGACTGAATTGTCATCTCTTACCTGGAGGCCACCAACCCATATCCATTGTCTATGGGGTCCACTTAGGGCAAAGGGGAGGTACTTTGGGTTGTCAGAGCCCTCAATGAAAACCTCACTCAAGGTCTGCTACAACAAGGCTCTTACCTCCCACTTGGTCTCTTCAATCTTTGGGAGAAACTCAGCCTGCTCCTTCTTGAAAGCCACAAATTTCTTCTCCAGCTCCTCTCGTTGCTGGAGGAGTTGTCCCATATCATCTTGGAGTTTTTTTTTCTCCTGCTGGAGCTTGAAGATTTGGAGCTGCAAGGCCTGCTGAGCCCGCTGCGCCTTTTTGGAGACCTGTTGCAATTTGTTGGCATAGTTTTGCCTCAGGTCCTCCATTTCCCTCTCCCAGATCTTCTGCTTCTCCTCGAATACTTGGAAGATGGCTGCCTCGCTTTTGTCCAAGTTCCTTCGCATCTGGAGGACCTCCTGCTCCTTCTCCCACAGCCGGTCTTCCAGGTCTTGGATGATGTCGTCTGTTGAAGGCGAGTGGAAAGGCATCGTTTCATTGAGATGGTTCAGTCTGTTGAACGAAGAAGTGCTCTTGCTCGAAGACCGCCCACTGTCTGAGGTAGATATCCCGTTGTATCCCACGATGTTCTTGTCCACGTAAGTGGTACCGATGCGGTTGATGTGGCTCGTGGAGGCGCTCATTGGACCCACATGCTGGCTGTAGCCTGTCCCGTACGTGGGCAGGCTCGTTAACGAGTTACGGCCTGAATCTGAAAGGCCCCCCACTTGGTTTGTAGTCCTGTTAAGGCTGCTCTTGTCGAGTCCACTTTTCGGTGCGGACGGGCTATTGCTGTTGGCATGGTTCAAGCTCTTTCTATTCTCTGTCACTCCATTGCTCTGTGGCGGGCAGAGGTTCTGCATGGAATGGAAGTTTTTAGGAACTACTGGTTTAAAGGCTGAGGGTCTAACTAAGGGCTCATTGCTCTGCAAAAGGAAAAAGGACCACGCATCAAACATAGCAGGAAGCTTGGTAACAGCACACAAAAGAGACACATCAGCACAGGATGGGGCTGGTGGAGCTAAGACGTCTTGGCCTAGCTCCGTATTTCTCAGCCTTATTACACCCTGGACTACTTGGGATTTAACATGAGGGACCTGTGGTCACTCATAGGGCAACACTTTTTTCTTCCCTTGCCCCAGCTGAAAAAAAAAAATCTTGACTCACCCCAAATCATCGTGATTTTTCCCTAGAATACTCCTTGGGTCCTCTTAGTGGTCTTTGCAAAGAAGGAGGGCTGCCACCTGCCTACCAGACCTGATCAAAATAACTCTTTGATTTTGGCAGATTATATTTTGATGGACTTCTAGGGTTGCATTGCCCATTTTCTGAAAACTGGACTGAACCCTTGGATTAGCAGCCAGTTTGCCCCAGGAGCATCATGTTTCCCTCCTGCTGGCAGTCATCTCTCCCTTGTGTGGACATCATGCCCTGCTTTTGCTCAGACAGGAGTAGGTAGGAGCTGTGACCCCAGCCATTGCTGGCCCAAGTGCAGCGAAACCAGGCAAGGAACATGCTGAAGCTGCTCTTCATTTGAATGTTTGTGTTTTCTGTGGGCATAAGCAGTGCTGGTGGGGAGAATGGACCACAGCTGTAAAGGATTTAGAAAGGATTTTAAAACCTTGCACATTCCTCACCCCGTCAATGCACCTACAGAAACAAAATTTTCCTCAAAATGGGATTGAGTCTCCCCTATTGCAGGTTGGGCTTCAGGTGAAAATTAACCCAGAAGAAGCCACTTAGTATTAGCAAAGATGTTTTCAAAAATGCCTTCCAGGAGAAACAGAATGAGCCCTAGTGAGCAGGCAAGGTTGGAGACCAAAAACCTGGCACCTGGCATGTGGAACTAAGATGGACTACAGGGGCCAGTGGATTAACAACCCAGGAGACAAGGCCACCGAACGCTGCAGAAATAATACGGCACAAGGCAGTGTTCTCAGGACACAAATTATGGAAAATGCTGGAGCAGAGCAGCAGGCTATATAAACCACTGCTGGCTCTGGGGCTCTGCTCCTCCAGGCCTAGGAGGTGTTTGCCCCCAAAGCCAATATAAGCCACGAGGACTGGGCTTGGATGGGCGATAACACTTACAGGGGTAGTTTTCAAACCTTGTCAACTTGTCCCTCACAAGAGGCACTGGGATTTTGAACAAATGCTCATAGCTGCTTTCAAACAATCCCTTTTGGTGGCGGTGGGCTGTTGGAGATCGCCTATAAATGGCACAAAACATAGGAGTGGGACTCAGATGCTGGACCTAGTGAAATGAGAGCCAACTCCAGCTCTCTCCCCGTCAGTCAGGGAGGTAGGTACGGCATCTCACGTAGGTTGGAATAGCCAGTGACTTAAATACAGTCTTAAATGAGCTGGAAACTTAGCTGTGGAAGACTTGTGATCATGCTCTTGGGCTCCTCCAGAACTAATATTCCCCTTCGCTCAACCTTGTGAAAGTAATAAAAATTGTTATTATCTGTACATAAGAAAGATGCCATCTACATACTAAGAATTAGACTATCTGTCAGGATCGCACTGTTGCCCAAGGCTTCCTGGTCTGTGTTTTTAGAGATGTGCCACATTCATCAAGCTGCTCCAGGAGGTGGGGATTCTCACCTGGTCTAGTTTGCCGGAGATTGGCAATATCTTTGGTGGGTTACTGGGCTCTCGGTATTGGGGAGGAGGTGGCATGTTCTTCTCGTTGTTGGTGGTCACGTTCCCACAGATGTCCATCTTCACCTTCTCGCTCTTGCGCAGGTCGCCGTTGATGTAGAGGGAATTGGAGACCTTCTCCGACTTGTACGTCTTCTCCTCGCCGGAGTAGCGGTTGGAGATCTCCCGTGTGGAGTACCCGTTGCGAGACCCCTCTGTCTGCCGGCCACTGCTCTGTGTCCGGGTCCCCACGCTCTTCATGGCGAACTCTTGGTCATTGGCAACTCCGCTGCCCACGCTCCCCATGGTGCTCTGGGAGACGGGTTGGGATGGCCGGGGAGCAAAACTGTGGAAGTTCTCCGGGCTGGGGTAGGTCGGGTCACTAAGAACGGGCAGCGTCTCTAGCGTGGCCATGGCAGCGCAGAGGTGAGGTGGAGGCACAGGTCAGTGGCACTGGGAGAAGGAGGAAAAGGAAAGAACTGTTAAAGAGATGCCTTTTATCTACCTTACCCTTTGCAGATTGGCATCATGCAGAGATGAGCAAATCTCTGGGTTGGGCGATGAAAGGACAGAAGCTGTCATGTCTCAGTATATGGTATGGAGCAGACGATGGGGCTGTCCTCCTCTCCGTGACCCCCCAGTCCCCCTTGGAGGAGCAGCGTGCACTGGTCCCCCAAATCCCACTCACTGCTATGTAAAAGAGCTGGTCTTAAGCCTCTCAGTCCAAGGGTTGGGTGCTCCCAGGGGAGGGGGTTGCGTGGGATTTAGAGGGCACAGCTCTACAGCATCAGATGGACACAACCGTTTGCAGTTCCCAAGCTTGAATTATTTCTGTCACTATTCCCAGGTTTGAACAAGTTTGTGTGGCCATGGGGATGGAAGGTTTCCAGCCCTGGTCCATCTGTAGGCTCACACACTATTGCTCCCTCTAGAGCATCCCTTAGGGATGATTCAACAGGGCTTAAGCAACACACGTCCTATCTCTTCCTTGGGAGTGTTGTCCCATGGACTGGAGCTTTTAAAAAGATGCTTTTGTCCCGGTGTCATCCTAAATTTCCTTTTAAACCTTTATTCCCCTACTCCATTTTATTGTTACCTAGGCTGTGTCTTGGATTGGCCAAAACTAGGCCATGGGAAGTGGATAACATGCAGATAATGGTTTTAAAAGTTGGGACCAGTCCTCACATGTCTGCATGCTCTTTCTCAGCTCCATCACCATCACAAACCCCAGTTCAGTGATTTCAGCTCTGGCTTCATAGGCGCCCAGGCCTATTCACATCTGTGTTTTGGGGAAATTCTCCAAATACTGGTGGTTGCATTGGCGCTGAATTCATTATCAGCTTAGGCAGTCAAGGTCCAGAGCTACCAGTGCTAAGTCAGGTTTCACATGGGGACAATTTATAACTTTCTAAAAGGCCTTTTGAAAGTCACTTCTGAAAGTCCCAGCTGAAAATCAAGCTGTTTCTGTACTCTTGGACCCAGAAGTAATGGATCTGGTCTGCATTGCCCCACTACCCGCCCCAAGGGTGGCAAAGCCTCTGCAGTCATGTCCCAGCATGGACTGGGACTAGGGAAAAAAACCAACATGGATTTATTTCTCTCAACAGAATTTCTTTAGTTAAAAAACCCTTGCATTTTCCCTGATGGGTGTATCCATAAAATATGAGTGTTGGGCCAGCAGGTAGGGGAGATGGAGAAAATCCCCATTTCAGTGGGGTTCTTCTTGGGGTAGGGATGTTAAATCAGCCCTTCCCAAGTAAAGCAGGAGAGCTAGGTTTATTTCCCTGAAGAGCTAGCTTAGGTCTAGAGCTCAGCTCCGATGTGGTGTCTCATGGGGTCTTGCTATTTGCACTAATAATGCAATGGAAAAAAAATTTTAAAGGTTAAAGCAGGGTCTGTGCTGCTTGACTTCACTGTTATTAAATTGCATTTCTGGAGGCTTCTGCCAGGCGCGCTGCCTGTAGCCTCCTCCCTTTTTCCAGCATCCTGATCTTCTCATAGAACGTTGCCCTGTCCGAATTATGGCCTGAGTGTCATGGGGCTGGTGGACAGATGTGGCAAACTGCTGTGCCGGAGGGAGAGGACACAGAGCTGATACCTACAGTGAGCTGGCAGAGCTCCTCTGGGGCAGAGCGGGGTATGGAGGTGGTCACAGAGGGAAAAAGTGTTTTAAGAAGGTGCTCTGGTGAAAGCCACCATCCCAGCTGAACTCCTGTTGAGGTGTGAAGGAGCCTCCACGGTCTGGGATGCACCAGATGTGCCCCATCATGGACAAGGGACAAGGCAGCTGTGAGGCAGAGGAGGATGCACCTGGTGGTGTAACCTTCTCCATCCCCTTGCACATCACCCCACCCAAGGAAGGACCCCAGGGGACTTGCCCCGCTGAACCACCAGCAATATGAAGCGATGAGCATTGGGTGGACGTTTTGTAGTCGCTGCTCATGACCTTCCTGCAGCTTGCACCTTTGTCCCCCAACAGAGACGTCTCCACGTCGCTCACTGGTTGAGGTCTAAAGACTGACCGGCAAACAAATATCACACGAGCATCACACGGTGCGGCGTGGGGACCCGCTACAATCAGAACATGTAAATGTTTATCAGTCATAAGGAACAAAACCTCCACCAGCAGAGAGGAGTGTCTGGGTCTGGTCACGCATCTGGTGTGCGGCATTTGGACACATCTCTCTCCAATGCACTGAGCAGGACTTAAGGGCTGATGACCCCATTGCACCCTAAAGGCACTTTCCAAAGAACAATGCCATAGACAGTTCATGAGTTCACGATGCCCAGGGATTAATCTAGGTGCCTGCTGGGCACCTGGAGACTAGGTTGGGCTACGGAGCGATGAGGAGGGATGGAGAACACCCACCTGAAGCCACACTCAACCCACAGTGCCTTTGGATTTTATTAGTCAAGGGAAGACTTTTTGTTCTGCTAATTTAGGAATAACCTGCCTTTCAATGACTTTGGGATCTGTATAGGCTGTGTCTGTTTTTTATGGGACACCAGCTGCCATGGGAGGGATGTGCTGGAAGGTCTCAGCTGTGGACAAGGGAAAGGCAGTGGCCGCATCCCCTCCATGCAGTGCTCCCCAGCCTCGCTCAGCCGACGGAGGAGAAATTCAGGTTACCTTTTCTTCACTGGGTAAATTCCACAGTGACATTTGCACATTTACATTGACTTTCTGAGGTCAGGATGAGGTCATTGGAAAGTTTGATCCTTCCAAAAAAAAAGCCAACACAACAACAAGCAGTATGAGCTAGGGAAGAAAAGTGTCCCCCAGTGGGGAGAGAACCATAGCCTGGGCAGAGTCATGGCAAAGTCCTCCAAGACATCTCAGAGGAAGGTGCCTGCTCAGCCTCATGGCATCTCCATCGGTGGTTTTCACCGGCAAATTATTACAGCCTTTCTCTGCCCTTGGGGATCCCCAGGCACCCAGGTGGTGGTTTCCACATCAAGGAGGCTTCTGCTTAGGGCCGTGTCCCACGCCCACTGGGATATTGAGCCGGTGTTCCCGTTTGGTGCCAGCAACCCAAAACCAGGGTGGAGGTTTTAGGTGCATTCTCGGGATGAGGGATCCAAGCTGCACTGCAGGGGCAGATTCTGAAAATGGACCTTTTTCTATGTTTTTTTTTCTTTTAACTGGGAGTCATCCAAGAAAATATTCTGAAAAAAATGGTTATTAGCTTATGTTTACTGTAAACCCGCGATCTGATAAACAGAGCATACGGACAAGCATTACAAATATGTTCTTAAGGAGATTCCAGAAGTGCCAACAGATCCCTGACAGTACATCTTTGTTTGCCAGAAAGGGCCATTTTTTTGAGAACAGCTCTCGCTTTTGTATCTTCCAGCCAGCTCCAGTTCCCAGTCAGGTTTTACCTCGGTCATTCCCCAGGTGAACTGTGAAATCAAGTTTTGAGCACGGCAAGGTAGGGAATAACACTGCCATGCTCTGGCGCAGAGCTGGAGGGTCAGGTTTTTTCCTTCAAGGTTTGGAGGAATGCATGATTTAAAAACCTCCCCAGGACATTTCTCCTGCTTAAATCTCATAACTGCCTTCCTCCCATGGGAACACGAGCTAAAATTGAGGTTACGGGTGTTTCCCAGTGAGGGAAACAAGGATGCTGAGCCTGACAGTCCATGAACACAGCGGGGTTGAGGGAAGCCGAACGGCTCACCTTTACCAGTGTTTCACTCCCATGTCTGTCCTTTAGAAGGAAAGAGGAGTCATCTCCAAGCATGGCTGGGCTTGGAAGAGACCCCCAAGCCACAGCAGAAGGGCAAAAGTGGCTTCCCCTGCCCTGTGGTGGCGTGGGGAGGCTCCAGACAGGTGGAAAACGAAAGCAGGAGTTTTAAGCAACCTGTCAGCCACTGCCCTTTCCAGATGTTTTATCTTTCCATATGTTACATCCCATCTGCAGGGGTGAGGAGGCACCAGGACCACCTCACTCTTCATCCTCACCAGGCTCTCAAGGAGACACTAGGTCCATTCCACCTCCCAAGGAGGACTAGCTCTACCCAAATTGCTCCTGAGTGATGTCTGTCCGTCCATCCATCCATCACAGCAGCCACTACCTCCAAGAACCAACACTCAGCCCTCACTGAGCTCTGCCCTCCCCAGTTCCCCAGAGCCCCCTGGTTACAGCAGGAGCCCAAGTGCAGGGACTTTCTGCAGACACAAAGGAGGAGACGGGAACCCTTCCAGAAAAAACACTGAGCTCATTTCCCATTTCTTGCCATTACTGTGTTAATAAAAGCTGAAAAGGGTTTCTTTGCCTGGATCGATGCAAAGCATCCTTCCTGGTAGGCATCTCCATGCCAGCACCTTACCTAGGAAAGGTACCGTGTCTCACTGGTACAGCCACCCTCCTCTCTGGCCAGGGACACTGGGACCTCACGCAACGGTGCAAATCGCCACCATCTCTGTGTTGCACGACATCCCCATCCCATCCAACCGTGATGGCCCCTTGGCCTTTCCCCCAGCAGCCCTGCCATGGAGACAGCAATATTTTTATGCCTGATGCAGAAAATCTGGGGTGAAATTTCCTTTTCCCCAGCTGTGGTTGCTAAACTCTTCATGGCTACCTCTTACCAAGGTTTCCTACCATGGCTGCAGCTTCAGGGAACCCCTAGATGCTATTGTAAATATAATAATCCATAAAACAACCCCTGCGTCTTCACACTTGCTTTACCCAAATGAGTTAGCAAATGCCTTCCAGTTAGGCAGAAGAAAAATTGCTTTCAGATAAGCAGCTGAATGGTTAACTAAGCCTAGATTATGAAAGCCTGGCTCTGTTTCTGCCTGAGTAGGTTAATTGTTAACACTCTAGTAACAAAGGCCTTTGGGAGACATACCTAGGCACCGTGCCATGCGAGAACGAAATCAATCACTGGTCTCGGGCAGAGAGAGC